TATAAAATCACTATAGATCAGGTAATTGCAATTTCTGGCGAATTTGTGAATATTCCGAATCATTTGAAATGTAGATTATTCCAAAATCTATCTGCCGATAACGTGTAATCATGTTACAAGTTTTGCATGTTACGACATAATGATATTCATGTTCTGATACACTGGTAGAACTGATAGTGTTAGAAAGGGGTTAAGCATTTCGTATTGAAGAAAGGCAGGTCGGCTGCGGAACCGATTAACGTTCTAAGCACCAATGACCACATCAGTTGTCACGGATAATTTCATCTCCGTTTTGTATCCTGAGAAGAAACTGCAGGGTCAAGAACTCGAGTCTTTGACACCACTCATTTTGTGGCTTGAACTTAATGGGATCTTCGATAAACTGATTGCAGCGATGGAACGTGGTTGGAAGTAGCTCAGGACCCTGTCCAGAGGCGGATTTTGATATTAGCAGTTTCCAGTCTGCAGGCCCTGCTACCACAGACAATTTTAGTAAGCCTAATACAGGGTGATTCAGAAGTCTATAAACCTGCAAAAATATATTAATTTCTCGTGGTAAGCAGACTGTAGAAGGTGCAATGTAGTGGTCAAGGTCTAAGGCTTTTTAAAGTCACTTCCCACTTCTAACTCTTGTTCTTACACAAGCACAGGAACTTTTGAATCAGTCTGTACAATATGTGGCAAGTATGATGCATACATCTGAATTCGTAATCTGCTGATGAAATATGTACGCATTCTACACCAAGTGTGCGAGTGTTTGCAGATGATCGTTTTGTGCGTTCTTTAAGAGATCTGTATCAACTGTGGAGGTTAGTTAGCTGCACTTACGTGCTAGGAATTGGGGAGGATTGGATGGGGCAGTAATGATTATGAAGTTCTTCAAGGTACGAAATCTGAGAAGGAAACCACAAAAAGTTTTTATCATAACACGTGCCCCGCACGTTAATGAATTGAAGTCAGCAGAACGTTTACTTCATTTTCATCATAACACGTGCCCCGCACGTTCCTGAATTGAAGTCAGCAGAACGTTTACTTGTGTTTTGCGTATTATAGAGATTGGCTGATTATTACGTTCCTTAATGGCGCACTTATACCCGCGGAGGTTATTTCGTGCCGAATAACAAGTTCTTGAATGACAAGTAGGTATGGAATTGGATGGAGGCCTATATGAATATTGTCTTTGTATTTGCATGGAACTTGTGTACATTAAACTTTTAAAGCATATTGGTAACTGTATGTACCTACTGATTTAAAAGTCCATAACTCCTCATTTTGCAATAATTAAAAAATACAAAGAGGAATAATTTCCATTTTGTAATGATTAAAAAATACAAAGAGGAATAATTTCTGGTTGCGCACTAGAGTCATTGACTTTATAAGAACGGATTTCTGCCTACAGTAAGTGAAAAGCATGTGCTTCGATACGTGAGAAGTAACGCAGAACGTGTGAGATCTTCACTTTCCACTCGCTTTTTTACACGCTTTAGTAGCCTGTAGGTGGTAGGCAACGCACAATCTCATCCGCTCCAGTCTCCGTAGCCATCCCTTGCGTTGTTACGTTGTACGAGTCGGATTTAACGAAACCTCGATCTCTCTTCTTTCCAAGCCGTAGGCCTTCATGCCTACTGCTCCTTCGCGTCTGATCCAGCTATAGTTTTCTGGGGCACTGCACTCACCTTTCTCCATGAGGTTTCTATTCAGGCTCACCTCTTGGACTTTTATTCTCATATTTTATCTGAAGGTTCTATGAACCTTAGCCTATTTATCATCTTTTTGCCCTGTACATTTATTATTTATACCCACGACCCGAAATTGTCCTCATGTATCACGTGGTGTGAAGCTACTCGAATGCTTGCAGAGACGTGTTTCAATTCAATCTGCATACATGCATAAAGGTGTGCAGTCTGTGAATGTTATTTGTTGGTCCGCGAACACGTTATGGTCTTGCCATGTTCTTTGAATATATAAACATTCGCCATGTTCGTTCTTTTTTCGCACTGTCACTTTGTGCACAAAGAATCCAGGCAGGGATTTCCTGAACGAGTCTGCACATTGGACCACTAAGACAGCAAGTAGATGGCGATGAGGGGAGGAATTCCCAACACCAAAAAGCCTCATGGGGTCATTTTTGACCCTCTTCCCTCTTAATTATTTAAGATGTTACGCTGCGACCAGAAACTAAAACAAAAGTCTTTATACCTTCATGGATTTGCTGTTGGAGACTGAGAGGAATAACACTGAACTACATAATCGAGAATACAATCAGGAAAATATGAAGAAATTCGGTATCTCATTTTCATAGTCTGTATTTCTACTGTAGAGTAAACAACCATTTTCTACGTATATACGTATACCTTATTAGCTGAGTCCTGAAATTTAAACGACACTGAAGGCGTATCAACTGCAGAGGTTATGTACGCCAGTATCAGCTGGATGTGACTGTGATAGTGAATTTCGAATGGGAGTGGGGGATGATTTAACTTACGGTACGCACTTGATACAGTGTCGTGTAATAAATCAAGAATCATGCATTCCATTCCGATGGTTTGTGAACCACCGGTTGAGACTCTTAGAACTGAGAGGTGAAGCACTTAAACCGTGTAGCAGTTCTGAGCACGAGGTTTTTAACCTGCATTTCCTGTAGTTTTTGCCCTACAAGTGCACCTCCACCTCTCTCGCAGATAATTCATTCATTTTTCAAGGTTCTGTTCATCTTCGTGTTCACGCGGTAGAACATGAAAGAGAACGACGTCCCCCTTCTGAGCCGGAATGTGTGTTAGGCGCCGATGCCTGTGTGTGGTCGCTGCAGAAAGAAAGTTACCATTCGTCACATTCGTGCAACACATATACGATAGCTAAGCTGTTTGTGTTTATTATGCAGGCAGGAAAAGAACCCTTAGTACAATTGTCCTTCAGCTTCCTTACGGCTTTCTGCCTATGGAAGTTACGTCGTTATATATTTCGGACGTAGGCCTGCAGTTGCAGCTAAATATCAAAATTGAAGTTAGGCTTTCACGACATTAAATTTGATACTTGTCTGGGAACCACGTGAATGACTTTCGTGTCTTTCAGGTGCATAGGGACAGTTTTAAGAAGCGTGAAATATCATCATAAATTTAATTTGTCATTAACACAGCTCAATAATTGTTAATTTAATTCAGTTATTTATTATTAGTGTCCTGCAGACAGCCAATTAAAGATATAGCACAAGGGGACATAAGAACACAATAAGAAATATAGGAAGGCACCAACAAGTAGATTTCCAACCAATCACGTGACTGTAGAGGACGTAATAAACAAAATTAAATTTCTACTGAATTCATCGATATCTTTGTAATAATAATTCAAATAAATCACGCAAATTAGATTAAAAGGTGAAGGCAAATAGATCGACAGCTTCCTGAAACCAAGAGCAATATTTTAAACAACGATAAACGTGGATAAGGAGCAATGCATCAGTGCAGTACCCCCTCTTACGTAAGGTTTGGAGTGAATATCATCACGTGTGTTTCTGTAAGTGGGTACAAGATGCTGCTATGAATTATTCATTAAAGAGGAACGATCTGAATTCTTTATTGTTTTTGCAACTTCTGAACTCGAAGCCCCCCGTGGTCTAGTAATTGTTCGTGATTTTATCGCACAAAATGTCTTTTTTAAAGTGGAACAGACGTGTCCGCTTTATTACTTCTCAATCAGTATTGTGTCATGCTTGCTGGTGGCCGTGCATGTGTCAGAAATAATCGGAGCATTGCATTAATAAACACAAAGGTACCTATACTGTATTTAAAACTAATTTTGTCTGTTTCGTGTGGGTGTCAAAGTGCCTCTTGCTTCAAGAGAAGAACACAGATTCAGTGTGTTTGAGAACAGAGTTATGAGGAAAGCATGCAATGAAGAGCTTCAAAATATGTACTCCGATTAATATTACTAGTCGGCACTTACCTTCTTAGGATTAGGCCTTCTTTCTATTTAGAATTCAGAGTTAAATGCTGCAACCGTTTTAGGCATGTAGTATGATTTCTTAAATGTGGGATGAGCCTGTCACATGACGTTATAATATAATAATACACGGTAAAACATCTGTGCCTCGACTGGGATTCCAATCCACGAGTCCACTGTTTGAACGATCGAAGACCATGCGTGCCTAATTCCGCAAGATCATTGAAATCGGAGCCTTATATCATTAGGCCGATAAAGTAAAGGAAGATAAGTTGGGTGGGACATGCAGCACGGATGGGGAAGTGTTCGGGAAATTTCTTTGGAGACCAGGTATAGAAGACTTCATAATATTAAAATTAGAAATCGTGTGTGAACTGGATTGTAGTGACTCAGCATGTAGGACTTTTGTGAAAGTATAACAGACCTCTGGGTTTCACGAAGCAGATAATTTTTGTAAATATCAACATTTATGCCTACCGGTCAGCAATATTTAATTTGTTGCAGTTTTAACAAATTGTCTAATGATGTTTTAATAAATTTAACTCATTCATAATTCGGCGGCTCGCGCGTCCATAAAAGGGATGAATGTGACTCCTGGTCTTGAATGGTTGATAACCGCTACATTTCATCGGCCACTCTCGTGAGATGGCTCACCTGTAGAGTCGTGTTGTTTATCACAAGGCAAGCGCGTGTCAAAGTGGCCGCAGTTAGTGGAATGGGTCTTCTCAAGATCCGCATAGATTTTCTTGGATTCTGCTGTCGGATGTGGGACGTTGCTTGTTCTTATGTCCGTATCCAGCATACTACGGCCTCGCAGAGAGCAACAGAGGAATGCTGCATATATTTGAAAACCTTGGAGCCCAAAACTGACGATTTATGTTATTTCGCTTGTTTGATAGGTTTCTAAATGTGCCCCCAAGAATTACTGTTTTACAATTTGAACGCAAAAAAAAAATTGCAAACGAAACAAGATGTTTGCCAAATTCATACTGAAACATAAGCCGTTGAGTTCTGAGCTCCTTCGTTACAGGGACACGACACGAAAATAAAAGGGAAAACGGTGTCATTTGAGTACATTTTTTTATATTCATTCAGATACAGTAACACTAGTAAAAATGCACTTTAAAATGACTGTGTTGTGTGTACTCTGTTATTTTCCAGTACGGAAATATTAATATTTGAATCATCTTCCAGAAGATTCTTAATAGGCAAATTCCTTGAACACAGAAAACTGTTTCGTGATTGTCTTTTGTTATAACTGGTAGCTATCTTCAGAGTTCAGGCAGAGAATGTGAAATTCATAAAAATGTTTTTCGTAATAAGCTAGTTTTGTACGTCTCAATTTCAACTACTCTGTTGCTTTATGAATATGATTATTTAATCTGAACTCTTTATGTTTGGTCTTATTGTTCATATACCATAAATATAAAATTTCCATACAACACTTCTGTTGAAAAATAAAAACAAAACTTTTTTAAGAAATGGGGCAAACGTTAGTTCTGTTAGTGTAATAGATTTGTGGCCAGTTGTTGCTATTAGACCATAACCTAACTGCAATATCTTCTGTCTTCTCTGTGATCTGTTCCTTACTTATTACACTGTTTTATCGTGAGTTATTAATGTCATGAATTATGCACACAGGTTGGTGTCATTGCGGACGTGGTAATAAGTGTAACATCGCCGAAGCATTCGGTAACACCTGTCTTCTGCTCCAAATGTCACCGTGGCGGTACCTCTTCAGAAAGGTAGGAGAAGCCAAAACAGCTCAGTTAATATATCCCTGTCTCTTAAATACGTTTCAGTCTTAATGTTATCAACAGATCTTCACCGTTATTTAAATGTACTGTCAATAGTTTTTGAATATCAATGTATGAATATGCGTCTATTTAATTGCGTAATAGTTTCTTAAAGTGCGGACACAAATACTTAAATAAAAATCGTTCTTTAATTTGTTCAGCGAACTATGAAATATCAATTAATATAAAGTAGAAGCTACATTACGGCAAATGGATCTGAGGACCATTATGTTGACCTTGAAATCATTTGATATGTCAGTAAATTAAATGACTGGAATCATTCGACTGAATGCCACTTTGAAACGTAATAACATTTTTATGTCGCATGTGCCTTCACCAGCGAACCAGTGGATTTACTTGTATATGTTTATGTTAGCCATTTCGGAATAGCTCAGAAAAGAGAAGCATAAATAGTATGTTTGTATTTACTTTTCCATTATCGATATCGTAAAATACCTGATTCGTCTGATATCAACCGCGGAATAGGCATTCAAGAACGTCGAATTGATGCCTGCGTTCCGTTGTTTAGCCTGAGGCCGTTCTTGTAAGTGTTTGTTATTTAACGGGAGGTTTGTTCTTCATTTGGTATCCCAGTACTGTACTGTCTTATGAAAGTCCAGGCAGTAAGTTTTGTAACAGTTTGTTTCTAGAACTACGTAGAGAATACTTGATTCTATTGAACGTTTTAAATACATGTTGGTGGAAGCAGGTCACAGACAGTTCCAAAATCAGAGGAAGAACAGATGAGTTTTACACTTGAATAAGTAAAAAGGTTTGTTCAGAATAATTTGAAGTGAAGATATTTAAATCACATTATGTAATGTGTGAACAATTCTTCGTACTTTTGAGTATTATAACATAAGGTTGATAGTTTTAAGCAATTATGTTACGCATTATTTTCTTCAGTCGGAACGTTACATGACGAACTGGACGACTTCTGTGCGTGCAATGTCGGACTCTACATAATTCACCACCTACGCTTTACAGAATTGCATAGTTCACCTCTATGTTCTTTTGTTCTGAAAATAAAGATGTAGACTGTATCTGTAAATAAATTTAAATACGTTCAAATACGCTTAGAAGTAAAATATCCGATTTTGCGTGTTTTAAAAGATGCTATTTTAGGGCAATTTCTTTTCTTTGCCCCTGTAGGTGCCATGCATGTATGTCAACATTTGATACACAACTCGCTGCAGAGACTGTACCCGCTTGCGGACAGTATGGGCGCACAGACTTAACTTTAGTTATCAATTATGTAATAACCTGTCGTGTTTGAGTGTCGGTCACAATCATTACTCATGCTTTTCTCTCCAACCTAGTTTGATGCCAATTAAGTATAAACAGTAGGTGTTGTTATGATTGCTGATTCCTCTCTTTGAAAGACCATCGTCATCAAAACACTACAAATGTTCTGCATCTTTCTCCTTCTTCTTGTAGCGAACGCATGTGCAAACCTACTCACAAAAGGAAAGACGCGCGGACATGGCTGTTTCGAGGTCAATTGGTTTTTGAGGGTTTCTGCCTCTATGGCATTATCTGTGTCAAACCGTTGAGGGCATATTTGTCAGTGCTGAATAACTTTTACGCCTGCCAATAACCGACAGTCTTGTTCAAAGTGCATAATTAGTTCCAAACATTAATGTAAAGTATTTTACCCAATTTTATTGCATAGTCGTGTCTATGTGCTTTATTTATTTATTTTTTGTAATAGAGAGTCTAAGGTTGTCGTTTATTTCCATTAGTCGACAATTTTGTATATCCTTTCTCAGACGATGCTTCATATTAGCTATGCCTCATTCAATCTCAGTTTAAAATGAAATTAAATCTACAGGCATATTATTGTATGTATTATCAGTGTTTGCCTGTTATTGGCTTCTTGCTGTTGGCAAATACGTAAATAAATTAATTTAATTGAATTGAATCTTTCTTCTTATAAGCTCACCATGGGCCTACATAATATTTATTTTCGAGAACAACTTGCTTTTTGTTAAATGGGTTTCTATTTGCAAAGACACATTTCAACATCCATGTTTATCGAAATTTGATCGACGTAACTTAGTCTGTGAATAAAAGAATGACGGGAGTTATGTGTTTTATGCCCTCAAATATTACTGCAAATGAAATGCATATCTTATAGTTTTATTAGCACGCTTATTTTTGTAGCTACCTGCCTACTGGCACAGGCACATGGACGTACTTGAAAAATAAAGTGTATCTCAGAACCAGCAATCTTCGCCTTTGATTAGATTGTTAATGAACAAAGGTTAATTGTAATTCAAAAACAGGCACAAGCTAACTTCCTTGGGGATGAATGGTTTAGAATTTATTTACGATCGAATGTAGCGGCTGATTAGCTATCGCTGTGGTTCATAGCTCGGCCTGGACCCCGGCTATCCTGAAGGAAGGTTCTTCGTGGTCTTCCTCAATCCCTCCAGGCAAACTGGGGGATAGTGCTTAAAATGAAGCCATGACTGCTTTATTCCACATTATTTCCAATTAATTGTTTATAATGGTATTAAACGGTATAAAGTGTTTTGAGACTTGTTGAGCGTCAATTAATTCACAAATAAATAAAGATGATTTCGTTATGTCATATTTTTATTATTAAAATATTCTTTAGTAGGTGAGAATATATTTAAGATTATGCTATTTAGATTACAAGGGTTAAATTTCGACTTTTGGATATAACCGTCACTTTCATAATTCTTGTTTAGCCACCGGATTCACATTTACCTAATCAACTACCTGAACTGTTGCATACGCACTGAAAGTCACTTTCTTCGGTTCTGAGTATTCTCCTATTCGCCTGTTCTTTTTTATGACGGACTTTAGGTTTCCTCCATTCTTCCCTTCTGGCTCTCCTCCACACCCTTCTCCGATGTATTCAAATCTCGCCGGCAGTTCTCCGATGCTATTTCGTCTACGCCCTGTTTCATTATATGACAATGGCGGCGAAGATGAATGAACGACAGCGCCTCCTATCTCCCTTAATTTTTGAGACAGTCCAAAGAATCTGTTGGATAAGGAGTTGGCGGTATTTGAAGCAGGGACTGTGTCTATGTAACGATACGCCATCGGCCTTCTTGCCGGCGGACTCTTGCTGCGGCGACTTCCGTTTGTAACATTGCGAGAGCGACTTCTGTTCTTCCGGAAGTGTTGCTGGGTCTGTGCCTGCTGTTGGTGTTGAGTGGTGGTCGAAGAACTGGAGAAGGAGTCCTCAACATTATTCTTCTTTGCATGGTTCTTATTCGAACTTGATTTCTGTGATGCTGTGGATGACATTCTCCAGCTCGGAGGTGCCGGCGAATACGCTACAAGATTACCATTGGCCACGCCATTACCATAAATCCAAGCACCTTGCTGAATTACTGGCACAACCATCGTCGGTTGAGGCTGTTGTTGATCGACTGATACCCTGATGAACTGTCCTCTGACCACCATTTGTTGGTTATTGTTGTTACTGTTATTGCTGTTGACTCTTTTTTGTGGCATTGCAGCTGCATTCGAATCCGACTGGCTCTTTGTTGAGGGAGATTTCTTGTTACTGACTGAGTCCAGTTGATGTGGGCCTTTCGTGAGGTGCGATGAAAGTGACGGGGGCTGTGGGGCTGGCGCTTTGTTTCTGCGCGTGTATCTCTTTCGCTCCGGGCGTTGAGGGCCTGAGGAATTGGGGTTAGTTTCGTCATCTTCCATCGAGGTTTGGGGCACAGTTGATGTTGGAGGGGACCACACCTTTCTGAGTTCCCCACCACTGTCGTCGTCTGCGTTACCTGAATGTATTACCAGTATCGCAGGTTGTCTTTGTCTCTGTATTACTTCCTTCCGCGTTCCTCCAACATCGACATCAGAGCGAATTATTCCTTCTATCTCCTTGCAGAACCTCGACTTTGTTCCAGTGTTGCTATTTGCTGATAGAAGATTACCAACATCTGGAGTGCTGATACTTATAATGCTGGACGGTCCATCCAAATTTTGATCATCTAATGCTATTAAATTCTCGACTGGGTTTTCCGTCTGAAGACCCCTCGAGACTTCAATGTGAGTGACGCCGTCTCCATCTGTCCTTTGCACTAAATTGAACCTGGTTCCTGCAACTGTTGAAAGGACTTCAACTTCACTTCCAGGACCAGAGCCGTTGGACAAAGTTCTTGTCGTTGGTGCACGGATGGGCTTCGTTACTGGTTTCGTTATTGCTGCAAGCGTGGAACTTTTTTGTGACGCTTCTTTTAAGGCTTTAATTATGGACTCTGGAGTTAGAGATGAACATTTGATTGATGAATGTTCTCTGCTTGATGCTAGAGATGGGTCTTTTCTCCTGTGAGGGTGCCTGTACTGTTCTAATTTAACACGTCTACTCGTCTCGTGGAAGCTTTCACATAGCTTCTTCATCTTTTCCTCACTTGAACATTCAAACACTATAGCTTCTAAGCCAGATGATGTATCTGTACCAGACGGAGACAATCTTTGAGACCTCCTTTTCTTTACAACCCAGACTACAATGCGTTGAAATGAAGGATCCGTATGACAGAACGCAATTTCGTTAACAGCATATGTTTCTCTCGTGTCATCATAACCATCTTTATTTGTCGTAACTGGTGACGATATTTTAGAAGTTGCCATTTTACCATTTCTCTGTTGAAAGAGTGAAAGGGATTTGACAAGAGCAGACACAGAGGTTGTATTCACAGCTGTTGGGGAAGGCGTAGACGGAACCGATGTGTCTTCAGTATCAGAAGCTCCACTGCTGTTGGCGCTATCAGTAGCGACTGATGAGACACAGGAAGAAGTCGACGAAGATATGACGCGCGTTGAAGGCGTTGGTCGCCCACTTAGCGTTGTGATCGTCGCATTTGGATGGCACTTGAAAACATGGTCGTCAACAAAACAACATGATGATGAATTGCTCATGGTGTCATCAGCTGATGATCCGAGAGATCTAGTTGAGGCTGAGTCGTCATCACCATCCGATTCGAACCCTTCGTCATCGTGCCGTTTTAATTGATGTTTCTGGTGGAATGGTCTCTTTACGATTTCGAGTCCATCCCGGCAGCGAAGGATATATCGTCGGTCTGGTCGCTCATCTCTGGTGGTTGTCCATCCTCGAGTTACCACTGTGCTGCGGGTTGCAGGAAACAGGGATCGGATCAAGCTAGCAAGACTGGAAGCATCTATCGCCCCGTCCACCGGTTGCCTACCTAGCAGAACAGCTTCACACTGCATAGTAACTTGTAGCCTTCACTGAAGAATTTGTCTTCCGAACTTCGTATGAAGCAGTAGCATCAATAAAACTTTATTTCCATGTCTCCCTGCTTCTGTTGTAAATCTTGTTCTTCTGTGTCAACAGTTCTTGGTCTAACAGACGAAAGGTAGCCGCCATCTTTCTCAGTCACGGTTTGGTTCATTCGCTTTATCGAAACCTGTAATCAGAAATAAACAAGGTAGTGTGTTTTAAAGCAATAGGTTCGATGAATTTGTAATTATTTAAGACTTACACCTGCACATGTTTAATGAATTTTATCAACTGATCCACCGAATGCTTGATAAGATAATTACACATAATTACAAACTTGATTAACTAGTTAAGGTTATGCCGACAAGTAGCGTGTGTTTCAAAGTAATAACTCGGTGTTTGTTGAATGAAAGACTACCGGCCGGGATAGACCGTATCGTGTATGAGATTCGAACGGGAATCTCATGATTGTAAATCAGCGTTACCGTTTAAGCCTGTCGGTCTGTTTCACTTTTGTGACTTTATTTCCTAATAGGTGCCAGGATAATGCAATTACAAAGGCATTACTTTTACTGGGGACCAATTTTATGGCAGAACTTGCTAACTGGGGCCAATTACAGCGAAGGGCATATGAAATGGACGAGGTCGAAATTGCAACAGAACGAGCCGAGACTGAGGCATCGTGCCATTCCAGGTTGACATTCCACTGATCTTGTCATGAATATTCACTTCTAGAACGCTTAAAATTGTTCTTTGTTGATAGGTACTAAGGACTGAGGACTCTTCATTTGAGAACATAATTAAAAATGCCGATAAGTATTTATTTTAGTCGGACTTTGATCATGACTTACTGTAAGTGACGCTAGTACTGATGAAGACACTGAAAACTTAGAATCGTGCAATTAAAAATTAATGGGAAACATGGAAGAAAATAAGACGCCATGAGGAGAAACTTTAACAAAGCGAGAACTTTCTTTTTGTTGTATATTTAATGTGCGTTTAGTGATAATCGGATGGTGGGTGCCACGCTCTTGTATGGTGTTTGACGGGGAAAGTGTGTGCAGATTCTACATCAGGAGAAAGTATAACACGTTTATAATGTATCTCAACCGTTCAGTTCTTCTCGTCTTCCCAATGTGTTGAAGACTAGAACGGGAAACCTACGGTCCGCTAGTCCGTGGGGAGCGGCTGGAGCCATCCATCATTTGATGAAGAACCGTTACAATTTCTCGCCTCATCTGAGGAATTCCATTAAATATCATAGTACTCATATTTCATCCATAGTTACCGGTCCCGATAAAATCATCGCAGTCAAATACAGAGACCTAACATCACGGTGCAAAGGTTAGAATTCTTTCTTCTAGTACGTGAAATCAGCTGGAAAATTTATTTTAGTTAAAGGTAAAGTTGTCACTGGTACTTAACTAAGCACCGCGTCAGGCAAGCTCGTATCTTCGCGCATACTTAACCTGGGTTCTAGACCGGGGACTTGTGATTGATTACCTCACGCCTCGACCGCTGAACCCCCGGGGAAAAGATTCCAATTCCCATTGGACAGATCCGGTCTGGACTTCTGGACGTTGTGCTGAGGAGCAAAATCCTGATCTGCTGGAAATCGAACCCTACTCGTCCAGCCCATAGCCCGTTCGCAATAAAGAGCATGTTGGTGTAGCGGTAATCCTCTAGGTTGGTATTCAGTAGATCACTGGATTTATTCTCGTTTGGGCTACCAGTTATCTGGACAAATGTTTCTTAGCTTTATTCTGACTCTTCAATCGTGTAACGGGGCAGTGCATTGGGACAGAGTACAAGCTCGTCCCCCCCCTACAAGTCCTTGCGTAATTAACGTTTATGATCACTCCACCTAATTCGACATCATTTAATTCCTGCAGTTCAAACAGTGTCTCGAAATAACATAAAAACTATCCAATAAAGGATGGAATTGTATTCCAATTGGCATTGGCCACTTTCGCTGTTAATGTTGTTACTGTCAACAAAGTCCATTAACACACGTTATAAACTTTGTTTTCTTCCGTCTCTAAGTTGTTAAGTTGTTAACTGGAAACTGATTGTTGAGAGGACCATGCGCAGATGATCATGCGATAAAAAAACTAAATAAAGAATTATCGGTTCTTACTTCATGCAGTAGGCCTGTACGGTGTATATCGCTGAAGAGCATGGCCATTAGAACCAGCATCCATTAAATTCATACTTCAAGTAAGACATGCCAAAAGCTGCCTTAAAATATCATGGGCTATTTATAAATCGATCATACTTAGCAAAAAAGATAAAAACTATGCGTTTTCTTTCGACTCTGTTCGTGATTTCTATAGGATCTTAAATAACATTTGTGAGTTTCTCCTTACTGTTTCGTCACAGCAGGTAAGGTGTGTTTAAAAATATAATGCCCTGTAACGAATGATATTAGAAGCTGTTTGAATTGTACGGTTTTGTGTGAAGCAGACAGGAAGGATTGCAAGACAAACGAGAGACGCGATGCGGAATTGGCAGCTCCTCACTTCAACAGCGACACACGTAACAAATACAGATCATAACATACTTGTTTCTGCACAGAAAAGAAAGCACAGCAAACTCATATTGTATTTGCCCTAACATGATGTTCACTTTATCTTTTCAAAGACCTCTCGAAAAATGAGTTATGATTTATATCCACGCATGTTCATTTGCCAGGTGTTTTAATGTAAGACCTAATGAAAACGTGTTTATGTGTTTAAATTATTTTGTTTTGTTCTGTGTTGAGACAGATAGGAGTACTGTACATCTGCTTGCGATATAACGATGAAAAATATTTATATATAAGGATTAATTTGATATCTGCAATGTACTTGTCAAAATATATTTTTACAACAGATAAGTGCAGATATGTAGATTCCCTTTTATAAATTTTAATCTTTCAAGATTGAGTGTTAAATCAGATATCCGAGACGTATGTTCTCCTCTCAACATCTTTCTTCCTAAAGCTGTACTTCTTGGATTCCCGAAGACTCCAATTCTGTAAGTCGTATCCTGCGGCAGTTAAATGACAAATATATTATACGCTTGGCCGACTAGATCCATTTTTGTATTAAATCAGGGCTCCGAGAAGAATGTACAGGCCGAAAGTAGAGGAAGTAACAGAACAGTGCCGAAAACTGCTTAACGAAGTGCTTCGTGATTTTACCTCTTCACCTAGTATTATTACGATAATGAAATAAGATTGATTAGATGGATAAGACCTAAAGTACTATCGAGGAAGTTGAGAAATGCATGCAGCGATTTAGTCGGAAAGAGGCCATTTTGGAGACCTAGGCTTACGTAGGATCTTAAAGAAAGACTGTGAACTGAATGCATGTTGCAGACTCTCTGTTTACTCGAATATAAGGAGTTGTATAGGCGGCCGATATTGTCAATGTTTCACTAATTTTAGATTTTTTTTATATATTTTTTCAAATTATTATATATAACTGAAGTAAAACTAATCTTGTTGTCAACAGTCATAGTACCGGGTAATTTCCGATGGCACCAGAAAGTGATGTTGCTTGTGCCCTTGTTTTACTGAGTGACTGAATAGAGAATACAAGGGCTGTGTTCCGGACTAATAATAAAGAAGAGGGCATTCAGTGAGCTTAATGAAACAAAATTAGACGTGGTGAACAAAAGAAGGAACGGGTAGTGAAAAAAAATGCAAGGAAAAAAAGAGAGGAATGCGTTAAAAAAACAAAAAGGGATGTCCTACATCCAGTCATTCATCGCATGTTCTCAGCCTTCTTTTTGCCTCTGACATGTCTTCGGCCTTCGAAAAGGCATGTAAAGAGATGGCGAGACAAGGCAGTAAACAGAGCAACGCGCAGCGTTTAATCCTCTGGTATTTACTGCACTTACCATTTTATGTTGTCGTGCTGAAATAATTTTATTAACTGACATAAAGCGATATTCGCCTGGTTATGCATTTGCAATGTACAAGCACGTGTGTACGTGCTAGCGAGCAGAGATACTGCCCGGTGTAGAATTTTTAATTCAGTTCCTTCTAGCGACATTATGTTAAATGCTGTGGAGGTGTAGCTTGAAGTAAGGTATGTAGAATGAAACTGACGTTTCTGTGGTCAACAACAACCCTTGAGATAACTGAATCCCATGGCGATATTTGAACCTGACAACACGCGAATATGTAGCACGAATTCTCTTGTGAAGATATGAAGAGGCTGTGGAATATTCGGCTTTGGGATCTAATCAGGAGGAACCCAGTTCAGGTTTTCGGCTGCATCACCGGTTGTGTTTTTTAGCCCTTCTTGCCGAATGTCAGGTCGTAGGCTTGCTTTAGATAGGTCACGGTTGTCCTCATTCCTGTCTTTTTTAATTCCCTAGGCCTGTGCATATTAATAAATGCCATTGCGTTCGAAACAAATCTCTTAATAAATAGTCTCTAACCAATCGAAAACCCTTCTAGTAGAAATAAGGCTGCAGTAATATTTTAATATCGTTCGCCATTAGCCTTGCAACAATATTGTTGCAGTTTGACATGAAGAAATTGTCGAAAGTTAATACATACGCATTGCTTGGAAATTTAACTCAACATTCTGAAGTATGAAGTCTATCAAAAAAGTTTAAAAATTTAGTTCGTACCTCAAAGAATACACAACGCATTCTTGTTAAAAAGTTAATTGTGCTGAGAGAAATTATAGCAATTTGTTCTGAAACTGATATGAAAGTCACAAATACACTCTGGACAAAATAGAGTGTTACCGAATATTAAAGCAGGCAGCACATATAGTTACCGCTGTGCTTCGAATAGTCTGAGGACAAGATTCTGCTTGCTGGTCATTAATGGAAAATTATTTTCAGTGAGGTTCGTGTGTAATGTTTGTCTAGACCCTGGTTGATTGTGGTGGAATCCAGTTAATCAGAATAAATGTTAATCGGACAGCCCCAAGGTTAATGACGGCAGGAGTGTTGTTTTAAAAAATCAAATTAAAACTTCATTACGGTCAAATATAGAGGTATTTTTTGCGCGCGCGGACTCAGGAGGAAGAGAGCACCTCGTTTCGTCAAGACAGCGGACTCTTAATGCTTAATTTCGCGTCACGGCTGCGCTGTCTGGAGAACTGTTTAAGAGGTTTCGGCCCTTCTTAATCTTACCCGATCTTTTTAAATCTACGGCGTTTCGAAAATCTGTTGTTTCCTACCTTA